ATATATATATATATATATATATCGACTAACAAATTACGTAGAAGAACAACTGATACTAAATAGATGTGACATTTTATCATACTAAAAATTTAAATTGTTCCACTAGAACTTCAAAATGTTTAAAATTGAAAGGGAAATTTAAAAAGTCAAGCGGACAAGATCCAATAGCTCAAGATTTTGAGCAGAAAATGAGGGGATAAAACCTATATTGTGGTATTTGTGTCTGATTTTTCAAAAATATACTCTTTATAATTATAAAAGTATACCCTCTATATATACTCTTTTCATTTCAAATTATTTTGTCGATTTTGACTTGGCACAAAAAAATAAAGAAGATTTTTGAATCTTGTGATTTTAAATTAAAGATATATTAAATGTTCCAAAAAACAAGGGACTCCATCAGTTTTTGAAGTGCAAAATTGCAGTTGAAGAGTATAAGTAAAAATAATAGAAATATTTATCAAGGAACATGTGTGATTGAGTGATTGAATTGAGTTCGATTTCATATTATTACATTTTTTTATGTATATTTCTGAAAAATCGACCATATTTCATTGGTTTTGACCTTTAGAATTGTAATCTAATAGCTGATTTTCAATCAGCAGCCATATAAAGTAAGCTATTTGTCAAAAAAATTTCCAAGTTTTATCATTTTACCAACAAGAAGAAGACATTTTTACTATAGGTTAAAAAGTTGATATTCACAATAGAAATAATTTTAGAAATATTATTTCCTCGAGGTACAATGAATATATCTAACTTTTCAAATAAACAAATAATTCATTTGTGGAAAGTTTAGTATAAGGAGCGTGCTTAAAAAGGGTCAGAGAGGAAAAATATGAGCATATAGGAAAAAGTCCATTCACACCCAACCACTCTTAATAAAAATTGACTATCGACCAAAGTTCGATTCAAAATTTAAAGTTTTAAGAATTTTATATTAATCTCAAATTAATAAATAGTAATAATTGAGTTCACAGTCATATAGATGCACATGAACCTGAGGTCAACCGTTGCCTATAGGGGCGGAGGCACAGTTACGATATCAAGTTCATTTGAAATTGAATACATACTGTTGATGTGGAACAAAAGTTTATGTATAAAAATCTATAAAAATTATGACAAATAAAAGGTATGAACGTGCAATTTTAGGAATATAATAGGTTCAATGCTAAAATATTTAAAGATTGATCAATCGATAAAATTTAAATCTTGAATATGTCTATATGTTTGCGCTTTGGGCATTCCAAATTTCAAACCCAACCACTCTTAATACAATCATATTTACTAGAAAAATAGTGTAGCCAAAAGTTGATTAATACATGGAGACATATATCCGAAATTTAAAGTTTATAAATTTTTATGTCAATCTTAAATTATTAAACCATAATAACTTAATTTACAGTCACATACTTATATATATTTTGTAGATTTTTTAATATATATATATATATATTATTTTTTTTTTTCTAACAATCTTTGACTAATTCATGCATGATATTAAAGCAAATCAAAATCACACGTTACTTTGCTCTTTTTTTTAAAAAAAAAAAAAAAATTATCTATTTATTTTGCGAAAAAACAATTTAACTTTCCCGTTATTAGAAGTTACCTTTATATTGCAAACTTGTTATTTTTGGGCAATACTATACATTTAATTGCTCGGTCAAAATCATTTATACTCACTAGTTAATATACATGTATTATACTTAATGATACAATATTACAATCAGTGTTCGGAGTCTATATTGAAGCTCTGAGTAAATATGAATTATATTACGCATGCAAGATCTATTCGGAGTTTATGATCCAACAAGATAAACTAGAGATCTTTGCACACATCATCGTACAAAGAAAAGATATATTTTCATCTTATTTTGTCTCAATAAAGAGAAACTATCACTTGGGTTACACGAAAGGTGAAATTATACAGTAAAGTTTTGGGCGATTCATGTTTATAGAAAGGGACCTTCCCAAAGATTGTCCACACTTTATATTATTATATCAAATAAAGAA